TATGGTGGTGGTGGGGAGGTAGTGAAAGTAAAGTGGGAAATAAGAGGCAACTTTCTCAGGTAAATCCCTAATGGGCCTCATTTTGGTCTAATGTTTACAAACTCAAATGCCCACAAGGGCTAGACAGGCGAGGTGATAGAATGATGACAGCATGAGGCACTCGGGAGTAGTGAAGATCGTGTTGAACTGGTGAGCATGAGGCTATCTACAAGGGGCAGCTGCTATGGCCCCAGGTGGCCATTGTGGCCACTACTGCCAGGTCTTCTAATTTTTGAAGTGAAGTTAGAAATGTATTTTTTAATGTAAAGTTTTGGCAGCAAATTTTATATGTTCTAAAACACCATGTGAATATAACATACTTGGAGGTCAGGGGCTGCTAGTTGGATGCCGCTACCATAAAGGGTAGGATGTAATCCCAGCCAACCTCATCTCAGCACCTATCCCCTTCCAAGGAGAATAACAATACTCTAATCTGCGTAGTGTGTTATGATTCAAAGTGCATTCATGTCCACATTTGACTTGAACTTCTCAGTAAGGAGAAACAGGTGAGCCAGGTATCTTTTTCAAGACCCTCACTTAAGAAAACAGGCTCAGGGAGAGAACCTGCCTGAGTGGGCACTGCTCTGGCAGTGGACCACAGCTCACACCGTTTCTACTCTATCTGGACAGAGGGATAGGGGTGGGGGGCAGCTGAGCCTTGTGAATGTATTGAAACTGTGATAGTGAAAGCAATTCTAGGCAGCTAAGAGACAGAGGAGGAGAGCTGAACAAGGTGAGAATCTGCTTTAAAGTCTGAAGTTCCCTAGATCTTATGTTCCACAGTCAGGACTGACAACTTTGACTTTCTCCAGAAAAAAAGAGATGAGTGCTGGTGTCTCCAAGCTTGGCTGAGGGCTGGGTTATGGCAGATGCCCCTCCTTGTTGTGTGTGATCATTGAATCTGAATAGCTATGACCTCAGGTTTAAGGTTCTTGAGGGAACCTGGAGAGATAAGAGGACCTGAATCCATTCCCTCCCACAGGCAAAGCAAGGGACTCCATTCTGGTTCCTTGTGGCTCCCAGCCCATCTTTCTCTGGGCTAAAGCAGGCTATGGGAGGCCTCTGAAGGTCAACATGTCCCTTATGGCCAACATGTGTGGGTGGCTAGGAGGCAACCGGCTTCTTCGTTCCAACAAAATATCTAAGACTGAACCCAGAAGATTCTGAATCCTAGATTTCTAATGAGGACAAGGAGGCCACTCTGGGGCCAGACTCTGACCTTCCAGTTTCCAAACCTTTGGAGAGGGCTTTTACCCAGTCCCCGTTGTCCCACCACACAGTGTGCCCTTCAAAGTCCGGCCCCTTACCTCAGCTCTCATGGGTCCCTGTTGGACACAATGCTACAAGCAAACAAAAAAAAAACAAGGAAAAGTAGCATAGACGGTGACACATATGTAGAAATAGAGACTTCAAATTCTTATAATTTATTCTCCCATTCCCAACCAACATTCCTCTCCCTGAGAATGCAAGGAGCACATATACCCTCTCTCACCTCAGCCTCCTCCCCACTCACCTGCTGTCCAGGCTTCCCTGCCATCTTCCTTCATCAGCTGCAGTGACCTGGCTTTCATGCAAACAGCAAATATATGAGAAAACACCTTTTTTTAAAAAAAATTTTACTTTAAGTTCTGGGATACATTTACACAACATGCAGGTTTGTTACATAGGTAAACATGTGTCATGGTGATTTGCTGCACCTATAAACCCATCATCTAGGTTTTAAGCCCCACATGCATTAGGTATTTGTCCTAATAATCTCCCTCTCCTTGCCCGCCACCACTCAACAGGCCCTTCCCCTCCCTGTGTCCATGTGTTCTTATTGTTCAACTCTCACTTATGAATGAGAACATGTGGTGTTTGGTTTTCTGTTCCTGTGTTAGTTTGCTAAGAATGATGGTTTCCAACTTCATCCAGGTCCCTGCAAAGGACATGAACTCATCCTTTTTTATGGCTGCACAGTACTCCACGGTGTGTATGTGCCACATTTTCTTTGTCCAGTCTATCATTGATGGGCATTTGGGTTGGTTCCAAGTCTTTGCTACTGTAAATAGTGCTGCAATAAACATATATGTGCATATGTCTTTACAGTAGAATGATTTATAACACTTTGGATATATACCCAGTAATGGGATTGCTGGGTCAAATGGTATTTCTGGTTCTAGGTCCTTAAGGAATTACCACACTTCCACAATGGTTGAACTAATGTACGCTCCCACAAACAGTGTAAAAGCATTCCTATTTCTTCATATCCTCTCTAGCATCTATTGTTTCCTGACTTTTTAATAATTGCCATTCTAGCTGGCATGAGATGGTATCTCATTGTGGTTTTGATTTGCATTTCTCTAATGACCAGTGATGACGAGCTTTTTTTCATATGTCTGTTGGCTGCATAAATGTCTTCTTTTGAGAAGTGTCTGTTCATATCCTTCACCCACTTTTTGATGTAGTTGTTTTTTTCTTGTAAATTTGTTTAAGTTCCTTGCAGATTCTGGATATTAGACCTTTGTCAGATGGGCAAATTGCAAAACTTTTCTCCCATTCTCTAGGTTGCCTGTTCACTCTGATGATAGTTTCTTTTGTTGTGCAGAAGCTCTTTAGTTTAGTCAGATCCCATTTATCAATTTTAGTTTTTGTTGCAATTGCTTTTGGCATTTTTGTCATGAAGTCATTGCCCATGCCTATGTCCTGAATGGTGTTGCCTAGGTTTTCTTCTAGGGTTTTTGTGGTTTTGAGTTTTACATTTAAGTCTTTAATCCATCTTGAGTTAATTTTTGTATAAGATACAAGTAAGGGGTTCAGTTTCTATTTTCTGCATATGGCTAACCAGTGGAAAACACCTTCTCTAAGAGGGGTTCAGGTTGCCTGGCCATGCCTGGGGCTTAGCACATCCAGCCACCTTACACATAGACCAGTGGGGGTCACAAAGCCATGGCTCCAGTACTCTGTTGGTTTCTCATTCTGTCCTTGGCCTCTAGGACCAAAGACAAAAGCCGATCGCTCTTATCTGGCTATTGGATATGCCTTGCTCCCAATAGCACTCTCAGGAAGAGAAACTCACATTTAGGATGACAACGGGCCAGGCATGGCCACCTCATCCCCTTATTTAATCAGACTATCAGCCTGTGAGTTGGTCATTGCTGTACCTGGTCAATTAGTTAGAGGCTGTGTAGATTGTTCAGGATTGCACAGATTTATAAGTGGCCCAGTAAGTATATGAACTCAGGTGAGTCTGCACCCAAAACTATTCCCTTTCCCCAAATTCAGGTCTAGATATCAGTGCTACTCTTTCTACAGCCAGTGCTATGAAGGGCAACAGTGCAAGCTGTGAACTGCCTAGCTCTGGGGAGCACTGTTGTGGTGGTCTGTGCCAATAGCCCTCCCTAGAGCTGTGCGGTGCACAATCTGCACATCATAGGTGGAAGCCATACCCCCAGCTGCAGCAAAAAGAAATTTCAGCCAAATAAAAAATTCTTTTTGGGGATCTCTGAGATAAAGTTTTTAATCAGCTACCTCAAACTTGGTCTTCTACGAAACATCACAGTATTTTTTGTTTGTTTGTTTAACAGAAATTTCAGTTTTCAAGTTAGTGTTACTTATTAATTGATGTATGTATCTCATCTGCACCCGAGGAGTTCATAACCATCAACTTACGACACCTACTTTGGAACCAGAAGGAGCTAAGCTTTGCCTTCTGGGAATTGAACTTGTAGTGTGAGAGTCTGCTCAGCTGAATTGGGGGCTAAGGAGTCATTGCCACAAGCAAAGAAAAACAAACAAACAAAACAGAAAACAAAAAACAATCTAGATAGGCATAGTTCAGTTCCTTCCAGTGCACCTGCCCAGAAGCTGGCAAGAAGAGCCCAGGATCTCCAGGAGGGAGGTGTCTGCCCATTGCCAGGGGTCCGGTGCACCCTGCAGGCTAGCCTAGGGAAGGAGAGCTGTTAGTTGCCCAGGATGAACTCCTGGAGGAAAGTTTCTAATCAGAAGAGAGGGGCTCTGGCATCAGACACAGGAAGGGCAGCAGTGAAAATGTGTGAGGAGGTATCATATCTGAAAAGAGAGTGTGATGAGCCAGACAGGGTTTTTAATATTCAGGTTGAAACAGGTTTTAGATATGACTTGGCATCATCGACGATAATCCACTTTAATTCAATTTGCCATAAAAAGATGCCACTTTTGCTTTTTACACAGACACATGAGAAAATGCTATGCTTGCATTGCTGAGCGCCTTGACTACACTCCTGTGGCCAGAACACACTTCACAGGGAAAGCCCCCTGGGTCTGGCCATGGTAGCTGTGTCAGTTGTGGCTCTCTCCTAATCCACGAGGCTCTGGTCACTATACTTAGTTCTATTATTTTGCTTGGAAGATGCTTCTGAGGGTTCACTGCCTCACAGGGATAACATGATATCCAAACTATGATCATAAATTGCTCCTTGCTTCATTTCACTTTTTCCTGGCACCTGCCAGGCAGCCAAGATAAAGAGAGCTTCTCCAGTGCAGCCTGTTATTATGAACCCAGAAAGGCAATCCATGTTCGGTTCACCTAACTGCTCTGGATTTCCTGTTTCTAAATACACAATATTAATTTGTACATAGGACATGTTGCCTTCAAATAATCGACAAATGTCCTTTCTCAGCATAGCCAATGGGATCAGATGAACAACTGGAATGTTAGCCATTCTGTGCCTGCATTCCATGGAGATTAAGAAAAAATTGCAGATCTAGAAACAATATGTGCAAGGGTGGTCTCCTGGCAATTTGCAGCCAATTACAAGTGTACATTGCTTTGCACAATGGATGTGCTACTGAAAAGGTTATATGCAAATCAAATTTTTGTAAATCGAATTATATTTAACATGCACCAAGGGAACTGGCTATTTTAGGGACACCAAAGTTGAATTCATTTTGTGGAGCAGGGAACCCTTTGTAAAGCAAATTACCATCCTCCAATTCATATATTCTTTGATAAGGTCAGGTTTTATTATTTGGGATTTTTTTGAACTAGAGCATACCTACAGTGTTAAAATGGTAGTAATAAGATATTCAGGGCCTTTAGCAAATTCTAGAAGTAAGAGAAGGAGAGATGAAAACTAACTGAATCTCCTTTTAAAGAAAGGAATGAACTGGAAAAAAAAAAAGGGGGGGGGGGCGTTGTTCCCGCATCAATTGACTGGAACGCCCATAGTGCTATTCTTATTTCTGGTTTGAACCCAGCTGACTCACCTCAGCCATGGTTCTCTGTGCCTGTGTTACATTATCCCATTTTGGAATTGCAGACTTCTAGACTGATAAAGTTATGAAAATGACAACCAGCCTCACCAGGGCCTTGTTAACCCTTCGGCACTGTTGTCACGGGGCCTGGGGCCCATCAGCTTTCTAAGGGTCCACATAACTGTCTGAGACCTGAAAGAACACAAAGAAAAACTGCAAATCAAAAATAATAAATGTTTAATTAAAGATCTACGAAATGTAACATTGTGTCAACTTCATTAATTGTTAAGTTTGGTATTCATAAAATTTTGATTACCCAAGAATTTGAAAGGAAGAAACAAAACTACCATTCTTCATAGCTGCTGTAATGGTCCACATAAAAAAATCCAAGGGCAACTATAGACAAACTGTATTGGTCAATAGAGCCTGGATTATACTGAGGTAACAAACCCTGAAATATCAGTTGCTTAACACAATAGTACTTTATTTCCTTCTCATGAAGTTTGTTGAGGTTCTGAGCCATGTGGTGATTCATCAATTCAAACTCTGCCACCTAAACACTAGGCATTTATCTCTGTTTAAGCAGAAGAACGAGACCAAAAAATAATGCAAGAGCTTTTCATTGCCTTAGCCTGGAAGTAACAGCATCACATTCACTCTCATTTCATTGGCTGCAGCTGGTCGCATGTTCCCTGGCTGCAGGCTACCTGGGAGGTATAGTATTTTCTATGTCCAGGGAGACCTGGTGATGTCTACCATGTACACTATTAAAATTGATTAGAGTTTAGTAAGATCAATATACCCAAACCAAAAACATTCCTGTATACCTGTAACAAACAATTAGAACATGTGAATTGAAATAAATACCAATTTAAAATGCAACAAATGCCATTAGGCACCTAGGAGCAAATCTGACAAAAGATATGCCAGATTTTTGTAGAGATAATCATAAAACTTTATTGAAAGATGGAAAAGATGTCAGTCTCCTCCAAATTAATTTGTAGATTAAGTGGCAAGTTTGATTGAAACACAAATAGGGTTTTTAATGGTAGTTTGTAAGCTGATACTAAAAATTTATATGGAATACTAAATAACTAAGACAATTTTACAGAAGGGAAAGAAAGGCTATGGGTGGCTGGCAGTGTGGTTGTATTCTCACAGGCAGAGATAAGCAGACAAATATTACAAAAGAGATATAGGCCCTTGTAAACATGTGAACCTGGTATTTGACAAGGGTGGCATTATGAATCAGTGAAGACAGAGGCTAACCGGGTGTTGGGATAATTGGATATGGAAAAAATGATTATGGATTGTAAATGTTTATAAATATTTGATGTAAATAAAATAATTTCAAAACACAAAAATATAAAGTTTCTTCTAATTTTTTACTGTAAAAGTGATATTTTTAGTGTGCAACGTGGGCTTATTTTAATACACTTGATATGATATGGGATGGGCCTTTAAGAATAAGAAACGTTTATCAAAGTAATAAATCTTGTTTCTGTAATTCAATTTTCTCTGTTTGGTCCCCACTAAATATCATGAGGTCATGGTTTCATTATATATATATATATAAATTATGATTACCTGACATGCATTAAAAGAATCGACTTCATAACAAATACTGAAGAGTCACTTTGTTCATTGTCATTGATTTCATGGGGAGAAAAAAAGTGTGAATCTATCATTTTTAATACTTTTTTTGTTTTATTTATTGAAGGTAAAGCAATCTCCATTCCATAACCCACTTTTTGTGCACTGAAAAGGTGCACTGGAAGGAGGTAATTGATTCATTATACCTGGAGGTATAATCCAGGAATGATCATGGGGAATCAGCAGCTCTCCCAACAGCCCACTTCATCTTTTCTTTGGTATAGAGCAAGATGGAGCAGTAGGGGATATACAGTGAGAGGTATATTACAAGCTGCACACCTGTCCCTGTTTGAGCAGATTTGGTGACTCCATGGGCTAGGGCCTGTTGAGGACTATTGACACGAAGGGCAGCAGAACTTTCTGAAAGGAAACCACTTTAAGGAAGAGAGAGTCAAGGACTCCAGATTGATCAAAAGACTAAATCATGGGGAAAAGGAGGGAGTGATTGTGAATTGCTCAGGTTGACTTTCTTTTTTATTGGATTATCCCAGAACAAAACCGAGTCTTCCTTGCCAGTTTCCTATAATTCACCACCACCAGCACTTCAGCCCTATCTACTGAGCAGCTTCTTCCTGATCCAAGGGGGCACATTGTCATCACACTTTCAGAGTTGCTCTTGTCCCCTACTTACCCCCACCACCAATCAATGGCCATCCACCAGAAGGCTAGTGCAGGTGGCCAGATTGTTCTTCTTTCCCAGAAGATTAGAGAGAACCACGGACAGAGGCTTTATCTGGAAGATAGGAGAACCCAGGAAAAAAAGGAGGGGATTCTAGAATATCCGACTGGGGAAATTCACAGAACATTTCACTTTCCTTCCTCCTTTTTACTTAGAGCTGTCCTGTCTGCTCCAATAGCACACAAAGAGATGCAGGCTGTGTGAAGAGCCCAGTTGCCCTCCATGACCATGGCATAACTGTGTGTCCAGCTTCATGGGGCACGGAGCAGCACTCTCATAGGAACTAAACAACCTGCCTAGCAACATTCACGTTGGAGGTATTTTCTGGTTTCTATCTGGGAATATTAGAATACAGTATTAGCCTTTTCAGCAATGGTGTAGGAAAGCAACAGTCCCACATGTGAGTCAAGTGAGTTTTGGTGGGGGGGAGGTGTTTGGCGTGGAGACAGCTCACTAACTTATACAGGGTTTCCCAGGGTGATGCTTTGAAGGCCAACATTCATCTGTATTGATGAGGTATAACAACAAAATATTGCGACTGATTTTTGTCATCGGCATGACTTTATAAGATGGTAACTGTAGAATCAGACAAAACAATAAGAGGTTTAATTACAGGTTATTTAAATACCTCTTTGACTTGTGGCTCTAGTGTAAAGAAATAGAGAAAAAAACTACAGAATGAAGTAATAAAATGAAGTAATAAAGAGCAAAGTTGAATCCAAGCAGGTAGTCAAGCAATATGCAGGAATCAGAAATTTTAAATCAGACTCAAATATTAGGTAATGATATAATTCAAACATTTCAAAAGTATTGACATAGCAAGTATAAACTTGGGATGGATTTTACTTGTCCCCATCAGTCATAGACACAAATCCAGCTGGCATTCTTGCCTATGGCCTCTTTTATCACTAAAAATCCCAATTTAGCTAAAAATGCACCCCAAAAAATGGCTCATGAAGGTTACCAAAAAATTTTGGAATAACGTAATTTTTTTCTTAGTGAATATGCATCTTTAAACCCTAGGAAGATTTAGAATTAAGTACATATGTATAGATATTAAGAAAATAAATTTTATAATATTAATATTTGGGCATTTAGGAGAAATATATGCATATTTAGTATTTTTGGAACTTGTAATTATGAACAGAATTTAGCTTATTAGAATAATAAGTCAGCATTAGAAATCCAATTTAAAATGAGTAGACTCATGATTTTAAGCTGAAACCTTTTTAGAAAAATGTGTTTACTAGTCAAAGGATATATTTTAAAAGAAAATGAATATGTTAAATTTATACACTCAGTTTAAAAGGTTTAGAAGATTTATTCATTAATTTGTAAATAAGATCAAAAATTAGTCAAAGGCTTCCTAAAATTTACTAGATTTTGAAATAAAAATATTATTTGTAAGTTGGGCTTGAAAGGCAAATACTTTTTAAAGGAATAACCTTAATAAATTACGTACTAATTTTCAAGACAAAAATAACTCCCTGAATAATCTTTCCTGCCCTCCCAAAGTTGCATCAAAGGCACAAAACACTCTTATTAATCTTTTTAAAAAAATAAATTAAAACTTTCACATGAAGTAAGTACTATCCTTTAAAGAATAGTCCCCTTGGAGGTCACACACATAAGTAATGCTTTTAATGCTCAAAATTCTCCTCAGACTCACCTTTGAGATTACTTTCCCAGCCAGTTTAAATTCTTTTTCTCTTTGTCAAACCTTTTCTTATAGTTGGAAACTGGATGACAAAATTATCTAACACCAAACTTAACATGTCACCACACTGAGGTATCTGCAGTTTAACATAGTCAACCCAAAAGAATGAATATCAGATGTGGTTGAAGAGTGTTTCTTCTCCGAAGGTACTCTTGGGAACTCTCCAATCATACCTCTTAGGCAGCTGACTTCTCTGTCTGCTGGAAGAGTCAAGAGAAGCATTTCTAGCTGGAACTCAACTTACGCACAGGTTAGAACTGAAAATAAACATTACGAAAGGTTTGGACTGAGGGGTTTGATCCAGGGGCGCTCACAGCAGTGAGGATGTACAAAGGGTCATGGTTGGGCATGGGTGGTTCTCAAATGTTGACACTGTGTGGGAGCGCTGTTCAGAGCCACAGCAAGAAGCAAAAGCAGGTAGTGCTTGCTGCTCGACAGGGACAAGCAAAGATGTCTGCAGAGGCGGTAACAAAATGACCCAAAAGACAAATTGACTCAGAGCACCAAATCCATTGGGTGGTAAACGAAAATAACCTTCTGGGCATGGTTGACCACACATTCCTTTTGGTTTAAGCAGCATAAAATCCAGGATATTTGAGTAAAATATGGGGAATGGGGAGGTGGAAAGAAGAGGCAGATTACAGGGGAAAAGTTTGGAAAAGAGAAATCCATAAACTTATCTTAGGGCCTGAACCACCTCTACATCATTTAGGCACAAAGGAGCCACTCTTGTCTGTTTATTTTTGTGAAATAGAAAACTCCGTACAAACTGTGTTTCCTCACGGGCCTAAACATTAGTAAATCACTAGCTATATAGGACCTTCCATCTGTATTTAATTAGTCAAAAAGTGGGTTATGGAATGGAGATTGCTTTACCTTCAATAAATCAAACAAAAAAAGTATTAAAAATGATAGATTCATACTTTTTTTTTCTCCTCATGAAATCAACGACAATGAACAAAGTGACTCTTCTGTATCTGTTAAGAAGTCGATTGCTTTTAATGCATGTCAGGTAATCCTAAAAACAAATTCCACCAACCTTTGTGGGAAATATCAGACAAATGCTCACCACGAATATAAAGAAGCATTTTCACAAAGAGCTGTGTGTACTTTGCACAACCACTGTAGGCTACCTTCCAAGCAGGGCAGTGCTGACATGCCCCACCTGCTGTTTATTCTCCTCCCACACAAGCCTATATCAACAGCAATGACCTGAGAAGATCAGAAAAGCCTCGGGACCCTTCAGAGCCATTCATTTGTTCATTAATTCACTCATTCACTCAAATCAAGTCTTCAGTAAACACTTAATATGCACAAGACACGAGGCTAGGCTCAGGATGTCATCTAGTCACAGGTTTGCAAAGTTTTGCATTTTTTTTCTTTCTTTGAACTACCATCAAGGACACAACACCTCTCTAGGGGGACTGTTCAACTTAGCATTGGAAATTGCAGTGTGGCTCTGCAGGCAAAGTAGATTACTAGTGATTAATAAAGATTACTAGAGTCTAAGGGGGTTCTAAGCTCTCATTTATTCCAGAATGACCCTGGGACCTCGATTTGAATATACGGATAAAGGGAGAAATGTTTTCTCTCTTAGGAGTAATAATGCCAAATTTCTAACAAAATTGATGACTAAATGTGAGGCAGGGGAAGCAGTATGATGTCGTGGAGGGAGCTGAGGAGCCCTGGGTTCACAGGCTGGCTCCAGACTTGAGCTACATACGCAGGGAAATCATTCAGCTTCTCTGTGCCTCAATTTGCTCATCCTTAAACCAGGGAGAACAATGCTGTCCTTGAAGGTTATTGTGATGATCAAGTAAGATACCATGAAAGAAGTGCTCGGCATAATGTCTGGCACATGGTAAAACCCAGATAGCACTGAATTAACAAACAAATGAATACAAGAGCAGCCTGTGTAGAAACCGAGTAATAAGGCTGAGCATCAGGAACTCCAAAGGTGAAAACACAGGGTGTCTTTTTCTTCTTATACTTGCTGTCTTTTCTCTCTGGCTTGTGCAAAGGTGGCCCAGGAGGGCCATGGGGGGAAAGATCCAGTGCTAGGATGGTGGTTAATGGTGGCTTTTCTGGATTACTGTGGACATATGGAACTAAGTGGAAGTGTTATCTGAACTGCTGACTCAAATAGGACAGTCCTAAGTCTACAGAAATTCTGGACTTTCAAATATTCTTCCTCACGGACACTTGTAATTACGCTGAAGCAATTGCCCTGCGTTTTAGTTTGGAAACTGCAATTGCTGTTCACTTGGATCTCTTCTGGAAACCAGGACCCTAAGATTTCTTCGAGTTGCTCAGTGAATTTGTCTAATCATGTTATCACCTTACTCTCCCCGCTGCCTTGTGCATCTTCCCACTCTAGGAAATGATGTAGGGGTGGAGTGGGGTGGGGCATTACATCACGTGCTCAGGCTCAGCCCGAGACAAAGAGCTTGGAGACATAACACCAGCTGTCTCTGAGGAACTTTCTCTCCAGCCTCTCCTCCCTCCCACATCACAATTTCACCTGCTCTGCTCCCAGGTATTTTGGGAGATGCCATAGAAGATCTTTTGTATATCTGTAAAAACTTCAAAAGTCAAAGTCATTTTTAAAATGATTTCAAGTTAATTACTTAATGCATTTTAGCTGCAGTTTACTGATCTATATAAAATGGGGCATAACACTTTTTACATTAGATGATGAAACAAGATAATGTAGGGAAAACACCAGTTGCAAACTACTTGCTAAAGAAATGTTCATTTTGATTCCCACAGTATCTCACACAACCTTCTGATCCTCAGTTCATTGTGTAGAATGAATCAACAGCCATGTGTTTCACAAGCGTAAGGCAAGTTAGAAAGAGATAGTGTCACTAATGAGTGAGACAGGAGAGCATCTACAGCCTTGGGCGTGGCCTGCAGGACTGCCACTGTGGGTAGGTTCCTACAGGGGGCATGTTTCCACCTCCATGGAGAGGATCCCAAGTGGGTCAGCAGGTTGAGCCATTTCCTGCTGCCAGTGTCCCTTGGGCACTGCCCTCTCCAGCTGACTCTATCCATAGGAGGGTGGGCATGGACTCTGACCATGGCCATCTCTTTCCCAACCTTCGACATGTCCCCAGCCTCAGGGTCAGGATACACAGAGTCTTTATCTACAGAGTAAACCTATTAAGAGTCTAGACTTCTTCAAACAACACATGAAAAATTCCAGCCATCAGAGAAACCCAAGCCTGCAAGCCTGTACTGTAGCCCCTAAATTAGGGTGCCAAGATGCAGGAAACCAGAGTCAAATTCCAAAACCTTGTGCTCCTTGGCTCGGGGCAGGGGGATGCTTGCCAGGAAGTGTGCATTCCATTTCCTGAGCCATTCTGTCCTGCGCTGCAATTTATTCCCATTAAGTGGACAGACCCGTGTTCCCACCAATTCTCCATGCAGATGAGGACTTTGGAGTTATTAAGAAAAGAAGCTCAATTGTCCCCCCCCGGCTTATCATTACTAACCAGGCAGAGGAAAGCTTCAGCCCACCATTGATTTAGATTAGCCCCTTCGTTTCAATATTATTAATTACCCAAGTTAGCATACAGCATGTCAACATCAAAACCCAACTTTTTTTTAAATTAACTATTTCCTTTGCAGCTTTCTGGCCATACCTATTTTCTTTCGTGCCTCCAGAACCCACACATAAATGCCTTGCAGATATGGTTTCAACTGTCATCAAGCGAAGTTATTAGACTGGGGACCAACACAGGTCACTTCTTTCATGAGAGGCCACCAGGCTAATCTTTTGAGGTGACATTTCCATAATAACTTAACATTTGCCAAAGTTCTCCATTGCATTCTGTGTAAAGCAAACAGAAGGGTTAATTTAGTTCTCTAATCTCTTGTTATAAGCCTAATTATTTTACATGTCTTCATTTCATTAATGAATTGCTGCTTTTTACATGCAGCTCCTTCCCCATTGCTTTTGTTTAAACCTCCTGGTGGGAAGGGATAGATTAATTTTGTTGTGCCTTAATGAAACTGTATGCTACATTAGATTTAACCATTTGGCATGCACTGCCAACATCACCATTATGCATAATGAATTATTTTTTGTGACTCCCAAACTACTGTAGACCTTCAGTGTTCTCCTTCAGATATTGTGACAATGCAACTGGCAGGCATACAACACCACACTCAGTCATTGTGCCTGGTGTCTCAGGAAACTGCCTTGTGGCTTTTTCCTTTCTGTCACCTGCATGGGAGCATCTAGATTTCTGCTTGCCATGGGGAACCCGGATATCCAGTTGATGTCCAGCGAGTATCTCAAATGAAACCAGCAAATCGGTATCAAGTTTTGAAGACAAAGCATTGTGGTAGGCACCTTAAGGCAGGCCAAAACGTTGTTTGGTCTTTGTCTTCACATCTTAGAATAGTAATCCTTCATTGTTGCTCCTCTGTCTGCAGGGCATCTGGGGTCGGGCAGGTCTAAACCAGGCTTGGCTCTGCTTTAGGCTGCAATGGACGGGGCAGCTCTGGTCCTCATGTCCCCATTTCCCTCCTTCTTCTCATAGTGTTGGTAAAAGCTTAGGAGGGTGGGTGGAAAGATACATGCAAGGCCTTCTAAGGTCTAGGCTGGGAACTGACATTTTACCTATTTATTTTTGGCCAAAGCAAGTTACATGGCCATGTCCAAAGTCAAGAGGCTGAGAAGTCTTCTCCCCGATGAAGAGGCCAGGCAAGGATGTAGTTGCAGGAATTGGCAAATGATTGAGCCCAATTCAATTGTTTATGTTTCTAAAGGTTGGCTGGGTTCTGTGTTGTGGCCATCCCCAAATTTTCAAAGCTGAAGCCATTTAATCTCACAATTAAGGTTGATCCCAGCCTAGGCTTGGGAACACATCTTGTTCCTAGGCAGGGGATCAACCGAAAGATCTCAAGCTAAAACTCTGTGGCTCGTCACTGAGTTAACCCTGATCCAATTAGTCTGGAACCAAGTCCTGTGTGAGTCCCAGCTGCTCTGGTAACTGCATTTCGTGTTCCTGAACTTGGCTTTCCCAGATATCTGCTGCCAGATCTGCCCTAACATGCTGGTTAATGAGTCATCTCCTTGGATTCCTAAGTTGCTCTGTTGTCAGACCTTTTCTGAATTGACTTTGTAAACATTTGATCTTAAAATCACCACTACTTGTTCCTTGCCTGGCTGCCCTTTCAGAACACAGCCACAGTCCCAGAAGGATCTCCAGATTCAGGACTGACAACACCCACTGTT